ACTTCGAGCCATTTTTAGCCTTTGCGATCCCCATATCTTCCCGGAGGAAGCATCCAGGAATTTTGAGCCTATGACAACTTTTACTCTACTCATCGAGATCTATCTGGCCTGAAAATTTTATAACTTTTCAATGAGCCGTTCTCGAGAAACCCCGGGACTGGGGAGGGGGTCCCCTTAACAGTTCCAAAGTGTTTTTTCCCACGGTTCTGATTTTCGGTCCAATTTCAAGAAAATTTTAAAAGTTTGGGAGTTTTTTGGAATCACCACACTCTGCCTTCTTGTAAAACATCTCAAAGAATCAAAAAAACCTAAGACTGATTAGACTTTTAAAGAACCTATAAGTTAGAACTAGACTTGATTCTTTGTAAACTGTCTATCAAATATGTTATTCTAGTCAAAACAAGATATTTATTGTACATAATTTTTGACATTTTCTTTCCTCAATATTGGAAAGTAATAATAAGAAAGTTACCTAAACTATTGTGTACGACTCATGTTGATAAAAATGTTTTTCAATATAAAAAATTTGCTACTTTCTCATACGAATCATCATACGTATGGCTTAAAAAATCAACTCTGCTGTATATTCTTTCATTTAGCAGTTATTCAATGTTTTCATTCAACAAAAATTGCGCTAACAAGTTTGTTTTCGCAACTTTGTAACTGTCTCTTCTCTTTTACAATCTAAAAAAAAACGTATTTTATGTCATATTGATACCGAGTAATGAAACTTTGTGATATGGTTCTCAATAAAAATTTATTGTTTTACAAGAGAAATTTTTTAAAACTATTTTTCAAGAGTCATATTGTATTATATGTAATTATTTTCAGTCGGTATGCATAGATTTTCATGCATTCATTTTGTAAAAATTGAATTTATTGAAATAATAATTCATAACAATCAAAAATTAATTACATCTGTATCAAGGAAGTAGTCTTTGAAATGTAAATAAATATTATTTCTACAGAAATAATGGATTTTTTTCACAATTCATCAGTGCCACTTTTCTTTTAAAATTTGATATCATTGGTTTTAACGGTCGATAATCGAAATGAAAATAAACATCATTTGGTAGGTATGTTTTGGCATCAAATAAAAATTTTTCAATATAGTTATCATGAGTCTCATGAAGGTCATTGTTAGTCCGATAAAGATATTCAATGATTGATAAATCTTGAATTTGGTTTTCTATATCGTTTAATCATTCAATAGTTTTTGAATAGTTATAATTAACTCTTCTAACTATAGAAATGATGGAGTAATTCGACAAGAAAATTTAGATTCAAAAAGACATCTATCAAATAATAATATTTCACAAACACATTTAAATAACCCATCTAGAAAAGTATTTGTTATATTTTTGTAATATTTCAATTCATATGAATAAGAATAAATTTAGCATTGATTATATTCACTTTCTTGAAAATAATCGACATAAGAAATAATTTGATTATCTTTATAACCTTTGAATGTATCTTGAATATCTTTATTGAATGATAAGTTAAATTGTTTATAAAAAACAGCTCAATGAGCAAAAATGAAATGAAAATTTCTTTAACTGTGTTATATTATTAATAATATTTGTTTTCAACTTATTATTATCAACAAATGTTTTTTGAATACAAACAATAAGAAAAAAATCAAGTTTTTCTAAATCTGATATGCACTGTTAAAGTAGTATGAAAATTCATCATTAACATTTATATCTGGGTCACAAAACATCGAAAAACATCTTAAATTGAGTAGATATCTCTAGGAAAAAGAATATTATTTTTTCATTTGAATGAATAAGATATTGAAAATAATCTACCTTATTATTGATTGTTAGATGTGAAGAGAAAATGAGAAAAATACTAACACGAAATGTTGATCAAGTAAATGAAGACAATTGGTGAAATCTTTTACACGTAGAGACTTGAAAGACATAGTGTCAGATATAAAATATCTGCATGTGATGTTGCATATCCTATTTGATACGTATTTTCAGACCTGACCGTAGAATAAAAATCACAAATGGATTGTATCAGAAGATTACGAAAAATCGAAAAGTGGTAAGTACATGTATCTTCTGACAAAAAAAGATATGGAAGAGCTCACTGATATCTAATAATCAAATTGTCACTGAGAAAGTTTGTTTTTGTATATGCCACATTTCATATGATGTCTCTTGCTTTCATAGTTTCCTAAATATGTGAAGTGCGTGTATAAATGGTTGTAGGATGTTGATATTCGTTGAAAGCAGCCTCCTACATCCTCACTCAGCTTCCAGGAATAGATAGTTCACTTGGTTTTTGAGCAATCCAAACAGAAGCTAATATCAAAAGGTCTTTCATTTATTTTGTAATTATGAAATATAAGTTTCATACAAATAAATAATTAACTCTTTCTTTCCTAGTGGCACCACTTATAAGTGCCATTTTTCTTGAATTTCGTTTTCTTGAGTTATCAGACGTATAGAAATTATTTTAATAGCAAATTAAGGCACATATATTACAGGTTTTATATTAATAATCCGAATAGTAACATTCTTCATAAAACATTTGTTAGCTACTTAAACAAATATGCTATATTCAAGCATGTGCTACAGTCATGCCATAAGATAACGACCTACGAAAAAACAAAAAAAAAAATACTTGGAAAATAATACAAACAGGAGATGAAAATATTTGACAAATAAGGTGTCGATGGAAATAGAGTGAAAAACGGTATCGTACAGCCTTAATTCAACTGCACCAACATCTGCAGCCATAGCCACACCCCTACTCACACCTTGTATCCATTATGTCGTCACTTTCATAAGTTTTTCTATACAATCAAATTTACTGAATATTTAATTCGTTAACTATATTAACATTTAATCAATATGATTCAAACTTTTCATGTGCATATTAGAGACCATTGTGATTACAATGCAAGACGAATTTCAGCTCCAAACATTAAAATTTGATCATGCGAAACAAAGAGTTAAAGTTCAAAATAGTTTCTCGTTTTTAAAATAATTTTTTTTCAAAATTATTAATTTCAAATATATTCTTATTGTAATCAATATGCAACTTTTTCCTCATATAGAACAAAAGAATTGAAAAATATGTAAATGAATGGTGTCTTTTTAAATACAACATAGTTTGAGTACGGCCTGTTTAAAAAATTTTATTTTCTACTAAAATAAAAAAATGAAAAATTATTCTTGCTGTAAATTGTAAGTTTCTTTAACATTAAAATCAAAACTATGGAAATCACTGAAGGAACAAAATTGATATTTAATCACCACAGGTTCGATTTTTCTGGAAAGCCTTTCATCAAGCACGTTTATACCAACGACGAGCTTTCACTGAACCACACTCCATATCCTAGCATAAAAAGACATGTTTCGTGAAAATACAAAAATATAAACTATGAAAAGTATCTTACAATCATAAGTTGACCTTTATCATCTATATAACGTGTAACCACAGATTTTTTTCCACTTTTGTCGATTGATGTATGAATCCATTTATTACCTTCAAAATTGATGGTTGACTTTAAAATGAAAAAAAAACCACATTAAAGTTAATAGAAATATATTTAAAAAAAATCAGCTTACTTTAACTTCACGTCCATCAGCCGTTGTTTCATCAAATTCAACACCAGGTGTAAAGTCGTATGTTGTTGTTTTCACTGAACTTTCAGATCGTACAGTCCATTTGCCACCATTTTCACTAATAGTAAGACGTGGTTTTATTCCTTTAGCTGCCATCCGTGTCGTGAGTCCAACGCCAAGCTCTTTCATATAATCATCAAAATGTTCGCCATCAACCTATTTTGAGAAAAATTAGTATATTAAATAAAATAAAAGTGCAAAATATATTATACATACATAATCCCAGCTACCTTTGAGTGCTTGAATACCGCTACTAGCCATTGAATAGTTTTGAATTAAGACGGTATATGTAGCTTATATAACGGTACGAACAGAAAGATGCTGAATAAGACGTGCGCACCTTTTTATATTTCTTTGTAAAATAAAATTATCTAGGGTTCAAGATTATGCAAATAGAAAAGATCATAAAAGATAGCTATAATAAGTGTATGGTGAAAAAAAAAGATTTAGTTGATCATCCAAAAACCAAAAATATGTGTACATAAATCAATCATGTGGTTGATACATATCGTTTATATTTATCAATGGTAATAAAGATAAAATTTGTTTTAGATTTATACGAAGTAAAAATGAGAGAGCATTAAGAAAAAATCAGTTTTTCATATAGAGAATGATTTGAATATGAGACAAAAATAACATTTTTATTGCATGCATATTCAGAAAGTCACAATTTTTTTTCGTGCTTGATGGAGAAAATGAAAATTGATTGAATTTTATTGTATCGAAACATATGTTAACTCTTTAGCCGAGACACACAAGACAGGTCAATAAATACTTAACGGTTAATAGCAATTTCTTTTCACAACGCTACTTGAATTATATTTATTGTCATTTTCAAACATTTGAATATAACTTCTGTTTAGATTAGTATGGACAATCAAAAAGTAGTGAGAGTGATACTGTAATTCTTTATAAAACACTTTAAGAAACTTTCTCTCTATATAGTTTGATAGGAAAAAGAATGCTTTATTTTTCTATGCTATTTGATCATACTTCAACAACTATAATAATAATAAAATTTCGATAAGATCTACTTTTCTATCATATGGGACAGTTATAAGAATGTCTATTTAATGAATAGTTTCTGAATAACTTTTGATAGAAGTTAGCTAGAGAGTTGCGTTTTTTATTGTTTGGAAGAGGAGATGAAGATGCATCCAATCGTATATTATACGCTTTCTTAGTATGTTGTCTGAAGTTTGTTTAATCAATTTTCTAAGTGTGAAAAAATGGTTTCTTATCAAAAAAAGAAACAGCAAAAAAAAAACGTTTTTTTTTAATTTAAATTGCCAGAAAAATAAACTTAGAGCTTCGACTAGAATACCTATAACTCCTGAATGATTAATTCTTAACATCTGAGCCTTGTGCAGTTTTGTAGATCATTCATTGGCAGTTTGAATGCACATTTGAAAATTAAGAATTCATGATACACACCTCACTGAGTGCGTTTGTATTCAAAGAGGTCTATTAAAAACGTTAAAAAAGTCATGTCAAAAAATCTATAATTTACGATTCAGTGCAGCTTCATCTCCTCTTTCAAACAATAAAAAAATGCAGCTTTCTAGCTAGCTTCTATCAAAAATTATTCAGAAACTATTCACTAAATAGACGTTCTTATAACCTTCCCATATAATAGAAAAATAGGTCTTATCGAAATTTTATTGTTATTATAGTAGTTGAAGTATGATCAAATAACATAGAAAAATAAAGCACTCTATTCTCTATCGGACTATATAGAGAGAAAGTTTCTTAAAAGATTTTTATAAAGAATTACAGTATCAGTCTCACTACTTTTTCACTGTCCATAGTATATTTAATCTTAAGACAACAGGAAAACTATATCATTTTACTTTAAAAAAAATACAATTACTCTTGTGTACCAAAATTTATATTGATAATTAAACATCTTTCACACATTTCACAATAAAGACTAATTGAAAACAAAATTAATGTGACGCATCTATTCTTATATTATTCTTGTTTCGAAAATGTTTTCAAAAATACCAGAAATTAGTCACAAAGTCAAACAAATTGTGAATAACATCTCAATTGTAAAGAACAAACACAATGAAATCGAGGTTTCACTCTGTTTAGCAATTATAATAATAAGTATTTCTATGAAAATTTAATCAAGTTGAACAAAATTAATTAATAATTCTACTAAAAACTTTCAGCGTTTATAGCGCTTTTCACTGTAACCATTTTGCCAAATTACTTGTGCCTTAAAAAACAAAAAATTCTTCAAATTTTTTTCTGCACCATTTCAATCAATTGTTTTCGATTATTTATTTTACTAAAACGTGATCGAAAACAAAAACCTAAGCGACACTCAAGTACTGCGTGGATAGGTACAGCAATCGATATTTAATTTAGGTTCAGTTTTGAAAGACAGTTTGAAATTTATTTACGTTCTGATTCACCATCAATCATACAATAATACAGAATCATTTTTGATTTGTTCATTTTTCCAAAGAGCTGAACTGCTGCTCGTTGTGATAACGTCGTGTATTCGATAAAGCGAAAATTGCTTTACAACTATAATAATATAAAGTTCTGAGTATTTTTAATCCAACTGAACTATTGAATCAACTTTGTAAAGTATGTATTTTCATCTTTATGTCTTAAAATTATATGAGACAAACAATCTAAGTCTTTTACGGACACCCAACTCTGATTTGTATGAAACTTATGGGGTTTGTACAGTTACGAAAACTGGTACTTTTAATTAAAAGAAATACTTGCCATTTGTTACTTTGTTAAGTAGTGACATGTCATTCGTTAACAAAGTTTAATATTGATAAATGTTTGAGGAATAAGTTCTTTTAGATATTTCTCTGAAAATCCTCAAAAATACCTAATCGAATCAAGTTTCCATGGAAAAGATGAATCTGATGTTAAATTTTCAACCTCACCGTGTACAGTTGATCTAAGATTAGTATTTAATCATTTTACGTTCAAATATAATGTACACATACTAAGTCAAATAAAACAGTATTAGTTACTTGGATCACCTTAATTTTAATTATATCGAAAATATATCGTTTTGTCACGTATTTTAGATTGGTATTTTTGGGCATGTAATTCAACTGTCTTTGTATATATTGACAGAAAATAATCGTAAAACATAGTAATCAAACTCATAGTGTTTCTTCATATATTAATTTTGATCGTCACTTAAAAGACTTCAGACAGTTTATATCATATATTCTATATAATAGTGTAGGTTCATTGAAATTTAGATAAAGAAATGAAAGCAAGAGCAGATCTCAAAAAGTAGAGCCATATTTTACAATGCCAGTATTCACATAAGTGTCATCTGAATCCCTAGAGAATTTTAATTTGAAAATCTTCTATCGTAGGTGCTTTATGCATGTTTATCTTGAAACCTGTTGAATTAAGTAAAACACTTGATACTTTGTACATCTATCTTGAGAATGCTTCGTCATTGATTAAAGAAATACCTAAAAAATTTTCTACCAAGATATTTAACAGTAATAAACTTTTCGAATCACTGACATATGTTAACACTGAAAAAAGTACCAAGAGGAAAGCATATTTTTAACTCAAAAATCACCATCTTTCGTAACTCTATAAACTCGACAACTTTCATGTAAATCGAAGTTCAACATTTGTAGGAACTATTAATTTTCGCTTCACGTAACTTTAATATTCTAGAGAAATAAACAATGGATTGAAATTATGCAGAAAATTTTATGAGAAGTTTTCAGTCTTTCAAGATACAAATAATTTTGAGTTGATCTCACTCAAAACCCGACAAATATTCGTAATCCTAATTCTTTCAGGAAAAAATGGTTCGAATTAAAAATCCTGTAATTGCTGAAACTTTTAGTACAATTATTGATTACTTAGTCCAACATGATTGAGTTTTAATAGAGATATCTTTATAGTCAATGTTTTATTATACATATCTTAAAACAATTAACAACGAATTATTTTGAAACAAATCAATATAATAATCTACAAGTGACTAGTAATTTCCTGTTTGGAAGAAAACCCATTATCATCCTATTTTTTCCTTGTCTAACTGTCAGTTCTTGTTTTTTTTTGTTACAAAAAAGTCATTCTATCAAGATAGCAATGTTCGACGTTTTTTTTTCACTCATCTATTGTATTTGCATGCCATATGGCATGAAAATAATCTATTCTTATGGTTTTACTCCACATAAATTATAAGTACTCAAACTGAAACTTATTATATATGTCAACGAAGAAAAACAGAACCATATAATTTGAATAAAACTATCGAGCAACAATTTTTTTTGTTCAATATTGAATATTCATATCAAGATTAAAAGTCTCCAATGAAAATTTTTTGTTTGACGTGTTTTTTTTACTTTGGACTTATATGACAATAAAGTACAAAGGATAATTCGTGGAATCCTGAAATTTAAGATTCCTTTAGATTTCGTAGAATTCCAGAATTCTGTCGTTTACTCCTTGATAAAGTATCAACAAGATTTGAAAGTTATCAGTACTCCTAGTCGAGATTATACTTGACTTTTCTTCTTTTCTTTCATGCATTATTATCATCATCCACAAAAAAAGAGAATTAACATATATTTTTTTTTTACTTGCTGTTATTTTTTTTAGTTTCAACATTATGCCAACAATGTCTTTGCTCGATTTACCATCAGAAATAATTTTCTTAATTTTTGAATATCTTCATAAACAACATATAGTTTATTCATTCTTAGAATTGAATGATGATTTTGCATTAACGGTGAAATGTTTTATTAGAAAAAAATTTGATTTAACAAAAGTTAATGATGATATTATTTTTCAATACTGTTTATCAACTGTTTTACCATTAATTGGATCTAATCTTCGTTACTTATCAATCGGTTATCCATATTGTTTATCAACATATATTAAATCAATAGAAACTTATTGTCCTAATTTAGATACATTGACTATTTATTGTTGTTCTCAAAAAGAAGACATTCGTCATTATGTCGCTCATTTAATACATCATGAACTTACATCATTACATTTTATTTTTAATCATAGAATTATCGGTCAACAAATTAGTCTTCGTTTACTTGATAAATCCAGAAATAAAGAATTTCAAAAAAATTCAATTGCATCATCATCACTTATATTACATTTATCATCAATGAATGATCTTATTTTATTAAAACGATATTCTGAAAGTGATTATCTTCCTAATGGTTTATATATGATTGAATGTATGTTAAATGGTGAATGGTTAACATATAATAAAGATGATTTATGTATAATGT